TTCGCAGCGGCAGCTGCAGCAGTAGCAGTAGCAGCGGCAGGAGCCGTGGAGATAGCAGGAGCAGGAGCACGAGCAGTAGCAGCAGCAGTAGCAGTAGCAGCAGCAGCAGCAGCAGCAGCAGCATCAGCACTAGTAGTAGTAATAGTAGTGTCGTGGTAGCAGTAGCAGCACATATTGCATCGGCACTGAGAAAAGCTAGTATGACTTAAAGCACGTAACAATCACAGCAGTGATAGTAATCATCATGAACACAGCATTCAGAAGAATACTGGGCAAGGTGGTACGAAGAGTACTGATGTGGACGGTAGCAACATATTAACAATAGCTCTAGCTGCCATCATGCTATACCTTAGAACGAGAGTGACATGAGTAGTTCTAGCTGTTGTATCGATAGCAAATGGACTAATCGCCATCCTGGTAATCAGAAGAAGAGTGCCGACAATTCCACGCAACGGTGGCAACGGGAATGGTAGTAGCAAAGCTAGACGAGCAGCGATACTAGTCCGTATATGCGCAACACCGGAGTAGTTCCTATAAGCGTCATCATCGAACGTGCTAGTAGATTTTGATTTCATCTGGCGCTACTCATCCTGTTGCTCTTAGTTTGCCTTGTCATCTCTCGTCTCAGTACGGCTCTCGTCGGTTTGCGTGGTGCTTTCAGGTTTCGCTCCATGACAGCAGCTCCAGGAACAGAGACAAGTTCGTGGCTTCTCGAACAAACAAGCGGCCAAAAGGCTCAACACGCCTGACACCTTGCCTCAACCGCTTCCGCTGCGATGCATGGGCTGTGGGTCGAGCAAGAAGTGGATAAAGTGCCGTCGTGAAGGCTGCCAGAAGGAGGCGCACCCTACGCAGGGCCATGGATTTTGCTGCTATGGTTGCAGCAAGGGCTGGGAATGCGGACCTCTTTGCACCGGCGTCAGTGGGTCGAGCAAGAAGTGGATAAAGTGCCGTCGTGCAGGCTGCCAGAAGGAGGCGCACCACACGCAGGGCCATGGATTTTGCTGCTATGGTTGCAGCAAGGGCTGGGAATGCGGACCTCTTTGCACCGGCGTCAATACAATGAAATGCTGGCGTCCTACTTGTGGGAAGAGAAAGCACAGCAGGATGGAGCTCGGATATTGTTGCAGGGGATGCAAGGCGAATGGCTGCTGTACCCGGGACTGTGAGAACCAGCCCTTCGTTGCGGCATCCGAGAGCCCGAGCCCAGCAGCAGTGCTCGAAGTGTCCAACGAGCCATCATCCCGTCAACAAGAGCCACTTGAAGCGCACACCAATAGTCAAAGTAACAATGCCAACATCGAGATGAAGGTTTTTGGATTCATGGACACCGCGTCACCCCTGGGCCCTACTTGGGAGAAGGCTTGCCAGGGTCGAGCACCTACTGTCGACGCTTCCACGGGCATGCTTATGGGGAAGTGGGCGGAGTGCTTGGCGTGGGCAGTTGCTTACGAGGCGCAGCATCCGGATCGGACTTCCACAGGTGATGTCATTGAGGCCAGGGCAGCTCTTTCATATCCAAAGCTGAACGCCCAAACCTTACATCCCCACTTCAGCGCCCTCTAGCACTAAAGCCCGCCCCCAAAAACCAATTCCAGCCAACCGAGCCATTGAGGCCATCCGGGCTGCAACCGTCCCTTCAAAACGCGGGCCGGTGCTCGAAGCATCCCACAAGGTCCTGAGGGCTTGTATTCAAGCCGTCGAAAATGGAGAGCCTCTCCCGTTCATCGATGCCAGCCCAATCTACGTAGGAGCTTCTTCAGGTGAGGGGCGCTTAGGGGTCCACAGGTCCTGATCATAAGCTTCCTACAAGGTCGGATCCATATATACATATATATATATACACATACACACACATGCATACTTGATGGTCTTCGATTTTCACTCACACAGAATCTGCGACATTTCGCCACTTGCGGGGCCCGAAACTGCCGCAGTAAACTGTTTCAAGAGCGGTTTGGCGCAGTGTGGTCTTGCGGTGATACTCCCAGCATGTGCGCAGGCCAAACATTCATCAAAAAAGAGAGCCTTTTCCGATCCCAGGCGTTGAAGTCTTGGTTCTGCCATGTTTGGCTGTCATGAAAACCTTACGCATGAACCCTGAACACCTAGAATTAGAACTCCCAACTAAACCCCAAACGCTGAATCCTAAATTCCCCAACCGAATAGTGCAAGTGGGTGTCAATAAACAGCTAGAGCGGGAATACAATTGCAAAGCCGCATGCACTCCCTGACACCGCACTTGTAGGATCAGAGGATCGATGGTGCTTTGTATGGCTGTGTAGGGTGTTTACAGGGTTTGATTGCTCAGTCTTACCTGAGGATCAGGAATCTTTCCAAGTGGGTGTTCAATAGGGAAATCGGTTGCCCGAAGTGGCCTCTCTCACTCATCACCCTTACTTATGGCCTTGCCAAATCCCCTGACCTTGAATCTTTCAACAATGCTGCGGACTCTGGCACTTTTGGTTTCAGGGTTCAGGCACCTCATTCGGGTCTCAGTCCAGAAATGGGCGAAAGAAGTGGCGCTTTTCGTTTTTGGGTTTTGAGATTGGGATTTGGGCATCTGGGGGCTGGACAGATGACAGGGGTTCAGGGAGTCAGAACTTGTTCGAGATTCAATCCTAAACCTAAATCTCAAATCCTAAATTTGGGGGGCAAAACCCCAGAAAGATAACAAAGAGTATGGACATCCATACTTGTTGTATTCCTGCTAAATTTAACCATCGCAGCAATGTAGTCTAGGGCGATCACGACCAGCGAGAACAGTCGCCATGGTACTTGTGGTACTCGCAACAGTGCTGTTCGCGACAACCGTGGAAGCATTACCGTGGTAGTAGTCGTAACTAACCGCACGAACAGAGCAGCGGTTGAGCCTGGTAGTAATGAAATTGTAGTCTTCATGAAAAATAGCAAACAGAGAGGCTACTGTGTGTCTTGTTCTGTGTGTATTGGTCGCATCAGGAGCTGTGACAACCACCATCATCATCATCATCATCATCATGGCCTCAACTGCAGCGCCGTAGTGATGGATCAGCAAGACATGCGAGCCAAGTGCACTAACAGTACAACATCGCAACAAAAGGCAAGGACAGCAGGCAGTCGAAGCAATTCGAACATCTACAATACTCGTAGTGATATTCATGACAGCAGTGACTGTAGCAGTATGCTTTAACGCATCAATAGCAACAGTTTTTCGAGCGAGGTGCTGAACGACGGGTGGATTATGGACACGACGTGCTACGAGTGGAAGCACGTGCAGTTCAAAGCGCAGTCGCAGGAGTTAAAGGCCAGCTAAGCAGAATCCATAGACACAAGCCGGACTTGTGGCAGGTGTAGTACTATTGGTTATCAGAACATGAGCAGTGAAAATCATGGTAGATGTGATCGCAGATGTTATGAATGATGATGGCCTCTGCCAGGGCTCCTATTGGAAGCGGATGTGTGGGAAGATCCTGGAGCACCCATACGTCGCGGCACAGGCAGAGCTCCTGGTGACGCCTGCGTGTTTGGGGGACGTTGGTACACTTCGGGTTTAGGGTTAGGGTTAGGGTTCAGGGTTTAGGGTTAGGGTTTAGGGTTTAGGGTTAGGGTTAGGGTTTAATTAGGGTGTAGGGTTTAGGGTTAGATTGCAGAGAGCTTGGCCAGGCGGGGCCACGGCGAAACTCCACAGGGGGCAGGTGCGAGATACTCACAGAGTGCAGCCGAGTGTCCACAGATTGAATCGCGCAGTCCAGGAGAGCCTCTCCAGGAACCACCAAAGGCCCTAAGACATTGGACCCCGAATCCCAAGAGTTTGCTGGACGAGGAGACTCAGCGCCGTGGCCCAGACAGCCCGATCGGCTGTCAGCGGCCTGAACTTCGAGACCCTCGCAGTAGCCGCCTCGAAGGCCTGAGGGAATAGTAGCCCGAAGCAGAGTGATAAGCGAGTTTTTGAGTTGCTGGCGAAACCGCCTCGACGAACGTGCACAGTAAGGTACTTGTGGTATTTTGATGTGATGCAGTAGGAGAAGAAGAACAGAGGAGTCACGACCGAAAAGACCGAGAAACACACGAGTGGCAGCTTTTCCTGTCTTCTCGGAGTCTTTGGAACAAGAACACGAATGTTCATGGTCTGCGGTAAGAAGTCCTGACTGTAACCATCCTTTAGGAAGAGGGCGGGTGCAAATTATGATTCCTGCACCGTAGATGTCTACGGGTTGCATGAACAGCTTGGCCGAAGTCTGTTGGGCCTGTAGACTCTTCAGGAATATCGTCATGTTCGAGCTCATCGTCGTACGGGGTGTGGTGTAGCAGTGGAGTTACATGACACGATAGAGGATGCAAGAATCAATGTCACAGTCGAACAGTTTTATCTTTGAATCACACACGCGCATTCATGAAAATGCAACTCGACATGATACAGAACACTGTGCTGTTTGGAACAAGGTTGCGGAACACCGCACAGTAAAAGGGTTGTTCAACATACCAAATAACATGTACGTTGTACGGTAGAAAACATCAAAGCCGGCGGACATTCGATATATTGTTGCAACGCCATGTGTTGAGATGTCGGCAGCTGCCAACGTACCCATGCACTGGAGCATCATGGTGATCATAGAGTATTGCTGCATGTTGACGATGTGATAGTTGACGTGGCTACAAGGAGAAAGCAGTATAAGGATTGAAGTGCACAAGCATCTTCTAGTAGATGCAGAGAGAAGAGACTGCATCAGTTACCGAAGGAACGTCGCACTCTCGTCTGGTCATTGGGCAGCCTAGAGCGACAGACGGTTGCGGCAATATGACGCTGCAACAGCAAAGTCGCACATGCCAGCATGACGCTACTCCTCACAGGCTGTGGTTGGCTCTGCGATGAGCCTTGGAGGATCGTTGCAGCTTTTTTCCGGGCGACGACTGGGGGGGAGCACTTCAAGCGCCAGGATCCTCCGGTGTTCCAGATGCTCCGGCAGATTCCATCGGCACTTCAGGTCTCGCTGCTTGCTTGCTTGCTTGCTCCAACAGAATACATAAGACTAATAATAGTAATACTAATAGTAAGAATAAATAGTATCAATTATAAGGGTGTCTCATGCAAAGAGCTATCTGTGGCTCTTGCTGGTGCAGGCGCGCGGAAATCCTGGAAGAAGTTCCTGTCCAAGCAGATGACCAGCATGTCTGCCCGGCGGTTCCCCCTGATGCAAGAGTTGCACAAAATACCGAATTTGGCCCCATCGCGACAGGTCCAAAGGAGACTCTGGCCCAAGGAGGCCGCGACACACCCCGAAGGACAGTCGGCCGACAGTGTCAAGATGTGAAAACGACGTGATGTTGGGGACAGCTGGAGGACCGAACAGGCATGGCAGAGGAGGAGCAGTTCCACGAAGACCTTCTGGCGATGGCTCCTTGACAGCCTCATTGTGCTCTGTGGCGGGAGAAAGCCCTGAAATCCGCAGTGCTCAGGTGAGCTCTTGTGCTCAGGGTGAGGTGCGACCGCAGCTCGCGTAGGGCCTAGAGAGGATCTCTGTTCTTTCTCAGGATGAAGATGCGAAGAAAGGACCTGCGTCAGGCTCCAAGCTCTGCCTTCTGTCTCTCCGGAGTCTTCTGCCACCACCTCAACAACTGCGGCTACATCTGCAGCGACAAAAATCAAGGACAGGTGCTCCCAGGGACAGTCTCGGATCTGCAGAGCTATCAAAAGTACGGCAGTCAACTTCATCGACAGTGCGACTAGTAGCACGGCTTCCAGTCGCATGATCTCTTTTCCCGGCATGCTTGGTGATTCCAGGGCTTGGGTGTCGGGGACGACAGGGGGCATTGAAGCCTGTCTGAGAGTTGGGGGCAACAGTCCATGTCTGAAGCTTGAGGCCACGTGCCAACCACACCACCTGCATCTACGAGAACACGGTGGGCTCAGTAGAAACTCACTAGACAAAGCTGTGCGGCAGTCACCAAGCTTTGATTCTGCTGCACAGCTCGTCCTTTTCGGCGGTCATGGTGGGATTGGGTACCAGCGCAAAGCATTCAACGATGCTCCTTGACTGCATTGCTTGCATGGCTGCGTGTTATCAGCGTGCGATCGGGAACTGAGTGAGGGACAAACTTACTGTGCAAGGTGTGGACGCTGAACCTGGACTCCTTCCGTCTTGCCAGCATGTGAACCATGTGATGCTTAGGCTGTGCTTCACGCGAAGCTATAAACTGTTGCTGCTGGTTTCCTGGGTCGCCAGGCTGGGCAGAGCTGACATGCCATGGGAACCCGCCGGCACCGCGATCCGGACATGCTTCGTTCCAGAAGGCGGAGCAGACGAGTGCTAAGATATTGGGAGACGAATTTGCGAAGGATCGCGCTCCTGGCAACACGAAAATGTGGCTTCCCCTATGTCCAGTGGATCTAAGATCTGGTCCATTTTCTCTTCCCCCAAATATCGAGCGATTTACCAGTCGCAAGCCGAACGTCGTCGCGGGACCACACGCACAGCCCCATTTCGCGCGCGGACGCCATCCGGACATGTGGGGTTGTCAATTTGGGGTGCTCCAGCAAACAACATGCCGTGTGGCGTCTTGTTTCGGACTATGCAAGAACTTCAAGAACTTCGATAGCGCCCGAAGTCATCCCCAAGCAAGTCGCCACTTTGCCTGCGGCACGGCGAATGCTCCAGCATGAGCGTCTCTTGGAGCTAGATGATGCCCCGGACTGGCTGCACTTGGATCACGCTGGTCCTTGAAAGGGAGCGTTCGGGGGCTGCGCTGCTCTGCAGCCAATCTGTCCGGTTGCAGCGAATTCATCCCCCCCAACTGAACATCCCGAATGCTTCACCTTCACCGCGACTCAGAGCCGCCATCGGTGCAGGATGGCTTCGTCTTTGTCTTCGGTGGATGGAATGGTGAGTCGCAGTTCAACGACCTTTTCATGCTGGATGTGGAGAACAAGGTGTGGCATCCCTCATGGTGTTGATCGCACAAGCAGATGTGACGGTGTAAATGTGCATACATTAGTTCACGTACAGGTAGACGGTCATCGTGGAACTTTGATGCTGCCAGCAAGAGTCTTGTCGAGTTCATCTCCAGCAAGTATGTCTGCCGATGTGTTTCTCATACGCTTCAGTTTCTGCCTGTCTGTCCGGTCTGGCCTGCCTGTCTGGCTGTCTGGCTGTCTGTCTGCTTATGTATCTAACTCTCTCTCTCTCTCTACCCCCCTTTGTGTGTGTCTACCTAAATGCACAGGTTCGTCTGCACAAAGACTCAGTCCAGACACGCATCAGGCCACGCTCATGCCCCTCTCCAGTTTTCTGCACACAGGCATTCACATATGTCGGCATACTTGTTCTACACACTCACACACATGCATGCATGCTTGCATGCTTGCATGCATGCGTACACACATACATACATATTGCGCACAATAAGCAACCATCCGTTCATGCTAGGTGCAAGCAAGCATGCATGCATCTGTGCAAATTTAGTATACTTGATGAGTCCACGTCTACATATTCCTCTATCCATCCATCAATCCATCCAACGATCCATCCATTTGTCCATCTGTCCAGCTCTCCGCCTGTCTATCTACCTGTCTCTCTCTCTCTCTCTCTCTCTCTCGCTCCCTGTCTGTCTATCTAGTCTACCTACCTGTACACATGTGCACGCATCACGGACGCAACATGCCATTGGACACTAGGAAGCAGATGAGCTAATGGAAGCTCAGGTGTGCAAAGTTGGGTGGTCGAATGAACACCGCTCTCTCTCTCTCTCTCTCACACGAGAATGTGCACGCACACGCACGCGCACACGCACGCACACGCACACGCGCACACACACACACAGACAGAGAGACAGACACAGAGCACGTTTCCCGGGTTTGGAGGATTGGTCGGACCTGGACCTGAGCTGGAGTGTGCCGCGGTGGAACATGGCATCACAGCTCGTGGAGGCTGGAGCCTGGGCAGTGGATTGAAAAGTTCTGCAGAGATCGTAAAAGAGCAATTTCATCAGCGCAAGCCACAGTCCCCAAGCTTCGTAGCCGCGGCCTCTGCGAGGCCATTCCCTCTTGGCGGGTCTTTGTGTTCGGTGGCTCAGCCGACCGGATGGGCCGCGCACCTGAGCCCGTTTGAGACTGGCGTGGTGTCATGAAGTTTGATTCTCTTATTCAGAGGTGAGGGTCGCACCATGGGGTCCTTCGACCGGAAACTAGGTGGGTATCAGGAAAGCACTCTTCTGGCTGGTGCTGAAATCGGGCTAGCACACAGGTGTGCTTGACCTCGGTGACGACCGGAAGTGGCTGACTCCAGTCCCAGAGGCCAGCTCACCAGATGACCAAGTGTATGAAGCTGCGAGCCGCCAGGAAAAGTCCAAAGCAGAGCGGCCTCATGGGCTGCTCGATCGCAAGGGAGCTTAAACAGCTTGCTGATCCTGATATGTTACGGCAGTCTTGGGACCGCGATATGTACATAGATTATAGCAGCAACAAAGCAAACTGAGAGCAAGAGGATGTAGCGCCCAGAGGAGTAGCAGTATCGAGCATGAAAGTTTTCAAGGTGCGATAGGGTCCTTCCGTTGGCCTGATGCTTCCCCACTCTTCATCCAGGCGAGAACACACCGCCTTGTGCTACGATGCAGAGGACCGAGCCACCATGCACTACATTCTTGTTTAATCCGGAGTCTTGCAAATAAAGATCAGAACACCCACCTGAGAATTCCTTTGTAGCCAGTCAAGCTTGGAATGCAACAGGAGAGCAGGTTGATCATGTATGGTGGCTGGGCGAACAAGTGGCTGGACGACTGCTGGCAGATCAATGTTGCTTCCATTGTTGGGCCACCGCACCATGGCAGCATCTTTCTCTGCAGGGACAGCTTTGTGCCGCAGTGCCTTTAGTATTGCGTCTGATGCTTTCTTTTCTCAGCTTGGTCCTGCCTTTCAGAGCGAAGGGGGTTTAGGTCGTCACTGTGAGAAGCTTGCTGAAGTTCAAGTTTTGAAGGTAGATGGGGGTATACGGTATATCTTTTGTGTGAAGTCCACTGAGGTATGCCATCGTGCAAGTGGATCCGCCCCTGGGACCTGTGTCCGGCAGTCAGAAAGCGGCATCCCCAGTTATCAGCATCCAATCCCATGGTTTTTGTACCTTAACTACACTGCTCTATAGCGATGTCCGCATTTCAGGTGAAGATCTCCGGCATTGGCTTCCTTTCTGTTCCGGGAGCAGCTGTGGTACGGTTCAGTGCTGTCACTGACCCAGACACTGGGCGGCATCGAAGCCGAAGAGCTCCCAGCCTGTCTGAGTCTGATCGAGGCTGGAGGCCGTTTCAGCGTGGAAGCTCAAGGCCAACTTCTTGGATGCCTGCAGCTTCGGCTGTGCCTGGAGCCTGTGCAGGAACAGTAGTGGATGATGAACTCGTCGAATGCCTTACGCCCAGGGTGGCACAGCTTGCTCGCTTTCTCTGGCTACAGTCATGTGTCAGCAGCACCGGCAGGAAAATGTAGAGTTGAGACCCTCACGATCAGCCAGGAGGGAAGCATTGGCCCACGGGAGTGTGAAGTGCGGGTCTCCATCGGCGTGAAAGACTTCACTACTACAGCAAGGGACACAGCACAGATGAAGCACTTTGAGCCTGAGACTGATGTCGACGCTCGCATGTCGGTCCAGCTGTGCTGAGGTGGCGGACTACCACTACTTCCTGAACACGATTCCAGACATGCAGCGCCCCTGGCTCCGTCGCCAAACCGTGCTGGAGAAGATGTCGTATACGCTTCTCTTCCAAGCACTGCCTCATGCACGGTGGTTTTGACGAGGTCTTTGTGTTATGGTCCAGGGCTGCTGATGGACCAGCAAGCCGAAGCGACTACGCGGCAGGGGCCATGTGATGCAAAAGTCATCGCTGGCTGTCACACAACATGGCTTTGCACCTCAGGTTCATGATCCAGGCCAGGAACCAGCTGGGCGAGAATAGCTCCTCGTCTCAAAATGTCGGTGAGGTGACAATCTCGAGCAGAGACTTGCATGCTCGGGGTTTGCATAATTTGGCCGTGCTTGTGTTTTTACACGAAGCGAGGAAAGTCCGGAAGAGATGACTGGGCTGATCTGGCTGTTTTGCTTGCACAGATTCGTAGCATCTACACATGTCCCTGCCTTTCTCTAAAATTGTGTCTGCATGTCTCCGCCAGGTGATCCAGATCAACCATGTCTACATCAACGACAAGGGGAAGGCCTCGTGCTCGAGGAGTGTCGATGGCAGTGGTCCTCCAGCACATGCCAGGAGTCGCTCCGGGAGCTTCCACATGAGGTAATCGACTTCGACAATGGGCAGCCGCTTGCTTAGATGCCTCAGCCGATTGCGTGGCGTCACGAATTGCCACTGGATCGAAGCCCATGGGCCGAGGTACGAAGTCAGGTATGTGGCTGAGGCTCCATCTGGCTACATAAGAAACATCCATCAACCTTTCATCTCTGCTTTTGTGCATGCACGCATGATGCAGTGTGCGAACGTGTGTGAATCATGCCTACATCCGCGAGTGTGCCGGTGCATCTGCATGATCTAGATCGCATACAGTATCCTGAGACATTGCTTGAGTCACATGCGCCATGTGCATAGCCTCATGCAGTCGTCCAGATTTCATGAGCTTGGACAAGATGGCCGTCGCCACGGGACATGCATCACACTGTCCGCATCACTCTGCGAAGAGACATATCCTAGGTAGTATGAGGGAGACCCCTTAAAGGGGATCCTTCTTAACCCTACTTATGGCTCTCTGAAAAGGGACCTTATCGAGAGAGTCTCCATCTTCAAGGGTCCGCCTAATCCTAACTCCCAACATATGCACCTTGGGCAGAAGATGCATAGGCGCATGCAGAAAGATGCAAAGATGCAAAACACGTAAGCAAGCCATCATTGTGTTAACACCTAAACAAAATATTCGAGTAAGCAAATAGGTAAAGTAGGCAAAAAGGTAAGTAGGTACGCAAGTACGTAAACAAGTCTGCAAGTAATCAAGCAAACAGGTAAGCCAGGAAGTAAGCCAGTAAGCAAGTTAGTAAACAAGTAAGCAAAGCGTTAAGTAAGGAAGCAGTGAAGGAAGGCAGGAAGGCTGGAAGCATGTCAGGAAGTAAGGAAGTACTGAATCCAGGACGGACGCATGTAAGTAAACAGAAGAATGTGGTGTATGTGTGTGTATGTAACACAGATATTCATCGGATGTAAACTGCATCTGCCTTTTTTGAAAGCATGTGTATGTATGCGAGTCTGTTTACGACCGTGCGCGCATAGACAGAGAGCGCGCGCGCACACACACGCACGCACGCACGCACGCACGCACGCACGCACGCACGCACACACACACAAACAATGGTTTCAATTGTTCCATGCTCTCATACCTTTGTCGGTACGCGTTCCGCAAGTAGTTTACCTTGCAGGTGGGCACAATAATCATCAAAGTCAACATGGTGGACGAGCAGCCTGCTCAGAGATGCGAGTCTATCCATTTGCACACATCTGCGCGGACTTTTGGCATCAAGGACAGGAAAACTAGCCGCAGTTCGAGGACTCGGCTCCGTGGAGACTGCCGAGTGTGGAGACATTCTCACCTGAGATATTAAGACGAAGAGCACTTGGTACCAGGATCGTTGTACCTAAGGAGCTGAAACGGGACATACATGAACGGGCTCGCTCTCCAGGATCACCTTTCCAAGCCTCGTGCATCCAATATGCCAAGAACCGGGCAAACGAGTACTTGGGCATGGAGCTCGAAGGGGTGACTCGGGGAATTCGGTGAGCTTTTCGCACTCTGTGCTGGTACAGGTCCGAACGTGCACAGCTGGCTTGCTACAACACTGCGGTCGTACTCGCCTATGTTTCTGCTTGTGGCTGAACCATAAAGCCCCTTATGACACCCAACAAAGACCCTGACGGCTGCCTTTGTTGTCCGTCTCTTGAATTCCAAGGCTGGAGGAGTTCCAGAGAAGCACTGAGGCCGAATGGCGCTCATCAGACCAGAAGCATTCTTCGGGTAAAGGCGGACGAGTCTTTCAGAAGTTGCCAGCAGTGTTGGCTGAAAGGCCGGGCAAGCGACAAAGCTAAGCGAGGATGATGTGAAGGGCTTGATAAAGGCACGCACTCGGTCCTGCTGAGCTTCACGTCATGACTGCTTTTAACCGATTTCAACCTTCGCAGGTGATGAATCACATCAAGGACATGTACCAGAAAGAATCCGAGCTGCTGCGTCAGCAGGCACTGGCATTGATCGCTGCTGCGGCGCATGCTTTGTGAACTCCTCCAGCGCTGTCAATAGGATTGCATCTATGAGACTCTGGCACACATCGAAAGGGAGGTGGGCTCCGATGTGATTCATGGCAAGATGTGGCAAGAGTTCACTGAGAGCGACTTGCGAAGGGCGTTCCTGTGGAGAAGCAGCTGAAGAGCTTGAAGAAGGCCCGGCCCTTCCTCTCCGGGCGGCCCTGGATGGCACGTTTGCGTTGCGCAGGTGAGTGCGAACTTGGCCCAGCTCAAAGTGGTCTGTCAGTCTACCGAAACCGCAGCCGTCTCGGTACGAAATAAGGCATACTGAGGACCTTCGTTATGCTCAGATGTCACCGAGCTAAGACGATGTGCTTAGGCGATTCAGCCGCTGGTCCAGATCCAGAGCGAGATCTACAAGTCTGACACTTGGAAGGGTGCCATGTGGAAACTTCCCCGCCTTGCCTGGGATATGCCCCCAACAGCCACAATCCCAAATTTTCAACCCTGAATCCAAAGCCTGAAAGGACCCGGATCGCGGAGTTCGAGCAAGCGCTTCGGTCCTACCACACGGGACTGAAGAAGGAAGCGTGCTCCGACGCGACGAGAGACCGATGCGAAGAAATAGAAAGATCTTGCTCCGATGCTGGTAACATTGGGGAGGTACTATTTCTACAAATCTGGTGTCGAGTTGGCGTTCCAGCGCATTCAAGCAGCTCCTTGTCTGCTGTCGGGTTGCGCATGTTTGGCCCAGTGACCAAATCGCAGCGAGATTCCGACGTCACAGATGATCGGAGCCAAGGTCACTGAGTACCTCGACCTCAAAACCTCCGAGCTCCAGGCACCCAAAGCCACCAGCTTTTTCGATGTGGGAAGAGGGTCCCATGCAGGATCTGCAGCTGATTGCCAAGAACTTCGAGTACCCCGATGAAGTCAAGGAGTCCTTCCGAGTCATGGGCATGATGCGGGAGGACGCGAGCAGTCCAAGTGTGGTGTCACTGAAACTGAACCTGACAGGTCTCCTCTGCTCGTGACTGCAAAAGAGGGATGTCGGTGACAATTGCAGAGCACTTTTTGCTCAAGAGCGTAGGCAGGGCTGCGGGGTGATGGCCGTCCCCCACGACCCTGCTCCTGGGCAGCCTGTGCAGTTGCGAGCGAGAGTCTATTTCAGAGACGTCGCACCCTACTTGTACGCTCGGTTCTGTGACGTGCTTTTGTGGTCTTGAAGTCCTCTGGCAAATTGAGGATGACGATTCTGAACGGGCCGCCACATATGCAGAGGCTGGGGCTACAGAGATGGCCACGGTGCTTGGATTCGGGCATTGGATGTGCAGCTGTACTGTGCAACTGTACTGTAGCCGGCTTGCCAGGTTGATCTGGCCTCAGATTACCCACGGTTGTTAGGAGTGGATGGGGCGCGTGAGGCGGGCCTGACTGTACCTTTCTGAGGTGAAGGTAGGGGACACGGATCGAAGTCCGGACAGGTTTTTGAATTATTCGTGACCCTCGCGGTCTGGCCATCAGCTTTTGCATGTCGACTGTCATCGTTGGTCTGTATGTATGACTTTCCGCAACATCAAACTTTATCTAATTTAGTGCTACAGGCTGTTTGAGTGTTCGGAACGCTTGCGGCTTGCGTGTTCGTTGTTGCACCAACTTTAGCAGTAGGCTCAGCATACTGCTGCTATCGGTGCCGGGACAAGAAAGAACGAGAAACGTGGTAGTGCTTGCGCGGCAGGAAGAACTCTTTAACGTCCTCCATGCCCATCTGAAGGGAGGCCTTCCAGAAGGATGGTCGCTACAGGTGGAGGCAGAAGTGTGTTGTCTTCATGAAGCCTGCTGACTGCTGTTCTTGGGAATCCCCAAGCCCGATCGCATGTTTTGTGACGAGGAGCAGAGATCAGCGGCCTACTTCTGGAATGAGGCCAGGCCAATGGCCTCGCATGATCGGACTGTCTTCGAAAGAGGCTGACTACACGAGGTTCTGTGATTCATCCGTTCCGGTTTGGGCATCTTGCTCTGGAATATGCTTCCAAAACGTAATGGTATAGGCAACAGCAATCGCAGGAGTAGAAGTAATAAAGATTATTGTGCCCGGAACAATGAGTCCTAAGGAACAGCAAAACTTCATCACACTGGCAATGATGAGGGAAGTAGTAGTAGTTGCAGTGCTGCTGATACTGTAGTAGTTGTCGTCGTCGTATTAGCACTGGCAGTGGCCGTACTCATGCGCAACACAAGAGTATTCACATATGTAGCAGATGTATAAAACAGTGTCATTACTTTTGCTATTCGCATTATGCGTATTGTTGTTGTTATTTCCACCACTACTGCATTTACTAGCATTACGCAAAAAAAGATGAGTTATTGTTGCTATTCTCGTTTTTTGTTATTGCCACTACTTTTATTGAGGCCATTGTTGGTTGTTGTTCATGGGATGGGGATGTCCGAGACATTGCCTCTGAGGTGAGCGGCCGAAGCTCCTGGACTCATCCCGACCATCAGGTTTTTCAGGACCTGATTTGGGGGTTGTAGGGTTTGGGGTCGAGGGCATCTGGGGTTTAGAGCTTAGGGTTTGTAGTGATAGGATCAGAGTTTCAATGTGAAAGTTTTGGAGTGGGCTGAGGAGTTTAAGACCAGAGTTTAGGCTTTTGGCCCTGGTTTCTTGGCCATTGCACGTCATATTTCAATCCAGGACCTGCTGTTGTTTCGGAGGCCGAGGTACGTGTCCAGTCACCCGTGGCAGGCTTGCTTCACCACACCGATAAGTGCGTTCTAGAATCAAAATTCATGACAAGCCAGTCGGCCCCATTGCATGACCAAATCGTGGAAAAAAACCCACCGGGGTACCAGAACTACATGCTGCCCAGCAGATTCAGAGTTGAGGGCACGCCTCAAACTTAAAGCGTTGCAGCGCAATTCACAATTTGGTTTCACGACCGTCTGTACCTCAGCTTCGAGGATCTTGCAGTCGCCTAGCTTCTGGTTTAGAGCCCGCAGTCTTCAGGAGATAATGGAGCTGCATCGCGAAGCGATGCAGTCTGACCATCCCGGGCAGCACCTGAGGAAGGGGTGGGAGAGGCTCGAGGCGCGACTGCTCTACGAAGTCTGAAGTGGAGAGAGGGTTTAGAGATTCCCTTAGGGTCTAGGGTTTAGGGTTAAGGGTTTAGAGCTGCCCGATTGAGGCCGACAGCAGCAATCGACATTGCGCGTGGTCCGCAGCTTAGTCGACTGCTTCCTTTGCAGTTGGAGTCCCACGAGAGCTGACTTTGAGGTCTGGCCCACATGTCACAGAAGAAGGCTTCAAGCAGCTTGTCACATTTTTGTACCTATCTTCCTGCAAGAGCCGTCTGATGTCTGATGCGGGAGCGTGGCAGCTGAGGTACTGGCATTGCTCCACCGACGGGTCCAGCAGCTGGTTAGATCCCTTTGCGGAGGCAGCAAGGGAACGAACCGTCAGGTCGCTCCGCCGGCAAAGACATGGTCTGACCTTGCGGCCTTCTTCGGGCATTTCAAGTGATCAAAAGAGTACACAAAGAAACCGCAACCAGGCTAGGAGAGGCGTACCACAGATGGTGTCCACGGCCTCGTTTGCCTGAGGTCCTCATTGATGTCCAAGCTCCTTGCGCCCTTTGCAGCCATCTGTGACGGCCCCGCCCTTAGGACACAGCGGGCCGTCTGTGAAGTCAGTGAAGTGCTGTCGGAAACATTCTGCCGAGGCGAACAAGCTGATGCCGAAACCACAGCCCGTACAGAGAGCTGCAGTGCAGTAAGTGTTCCTTAGCTGCAGCGGAAAAACGTTTAACTTCAGATGATGGCTGCTCTAGTCCTGCAGTTTCGAGCTCTCCGCAGTCGTGATGTCACAAGCCGAGGAGAGCAGCACGCCCAGGGAGATGCGAAGACCCTCGCTTTCTTCGACTCCGAGAAGCCCTGTGCCGCTGGGGGTCGGGACCCAAAGACCTCTCCTAGATGGTTCGACAGCATCGAGAAGCCGTTCACGTCCCGAGGATAGCGAAGGCAGTGGCGGCCGCGGCCTACCGGGCACGGCCATGGCTGGAACCCACCAGGATCGGACCGGCAGGGATCGGCAGGCTTTACGGTGCTCACTGCAAGTCCGGGAGTGTTGTGGCTTAGTGAGTTAAGTGCTTGAGGACTGACTGCGACGTATACAAGAGATCCGGATATGCCCGCAGGCGTGCTTGCATTTGCCGTGCAGGAGGCGCTCCAAGCCATTCAGGGCACGTGCAGGATGCATCTTCATCGAGGAGATCTTCTTCGAAGGCGTCGGGCAGAGGATGAGGCCGGCGAGCTGGAAAGCCAAACTAAGAAAGCCTGGGGCCGTTTGTGCATCAGCTTTCTCGGAAGCCTCCTGCATCGGCCAGAGAACTCACGTTTGCAAGCAGTCGCATCACCACATCATGATCTCAGGTTTCTGCAAACTTCAGATTTGAGGAAAATCGATAAAAGCCTTTCCTCACCCTGCCTCGTTGAAATGGGACAGACGAATTGTGCGGAGTTTCCCGTCCTCAGCGCACATCCTTGTGCATGGTTCTGTCAGAGGTATCGAGGCAGGAAGTCCTGCCGTATTGGGTCTAGCTGCTCCGGTTCTGCGCGGTCGTAAGCTCGACATCACTTGGAGGCAAGAGCCACGTATGGTGGCAGTCTCTCGTAGGCCGCCCTCGCGCTTGCGTGCCCGAGATGCACACCGAATCACGCCAGATTCGATTAGTGGAATCACAACAGGTTCACGGTTCTGAAGCTACTCACACACCGACATCTTGCTACTGTAACATCTAATTCGGCAAGTTCAAGTGCGGGCAAGATGCCGGCAACTCTCTTTTGCAGTTGTTGCTGCAGAGTTGGTTCCTTCTTGGGAATCTTTGTGCTTATTCTGAAGAAAGCTCGCGCAGAAAGTTTCCGACTGCACTCATTACCGTTATTACCGTTGCATGATCTCGGGTGCAGGCCTCTGCAGTGAAGAATCTGCAGAGATTCTGCCACGTCTACCTGTGCCGGCTGAAACTGAAGCAGCACCAGAGAGCAGCCCAGGACCGAATCGTTCAGATTCGTTCAGATGCTTCTGATCTTGCCGGTGATCTTGTCACCGGGGTTGTGATTTATGGAGGGGCCCGGCGCAAAATGACCGGATCGATTGAGGTACCATGTTTACCGTACCTGCTGAGGGACAAACCTGTTTGGCACTGTTGCCAGGCTTTGAAAGCTGTGAGAGGCGAGAGAGCATCGTGATAAGGCGGTTTACAGCTCCCGATGTGCGTTCTGTTTTTTGCTATGCTGCTCCCATGTCCTCACAGGAGCGCTTCGCGGCTGCGACTCTACAAGCTGCGTGCCGTCGCAGGATTTGCCAAGTGCGTCTCCTCGCCGCTGCCAGATCGAAGGCCGAGGCTCGGTCAGGGTGCCTAAACTAAACTTATTATAACAATACAATATAATATAGTATAATATAATATAATATAGTATAGTATAATATAATATTATAAACTTCCTAAACCAAAGCGGCAAGCCCAAGCCTAGAGCCTGATGCCTAAAGGCCCAACCGGGTACGAGCTTCCTGGAAGATCAAAATGTCGACATGTTGTGGTCCGAGCAAAAGGCATTCGTGCCACCGGCAGACCGTGGCTTGACCTGGCATCACGCTTTACGATTTCCTCTTCTTGTGCTCGGGTGCAAAGCCGCAAGACAGGAAGATGCAGCCTGCTGCTTGCAGAGAGCAACACGAGCATTCCTCTCTGCGGCGACTGCCATGCAGAGGGAGGAGATAGTTGCACAATACGGCACAGTTTCTCGAGTTCGTAAACTCAAAAAGTGGCACGTATGCAGGAAGTGGCGAGAACTCGCCACGCAGTTGCTGCTTGCCACATCCAGAAGTGTTGGAGGGGCCGCAGAGATCGGCATTGGTTTGATGAGATTGGCAGAGAACCTTGGCCTTGGCATGCCTTGGCAACATCGGTGTTTTTGCTGTCCGTGGAGGGCGCCGCAAGTGCAAAAGAAACTCTGAAGCCTCTTGGGTCTCACGCATTCTTTCTTGAAGCCCTTGCTCAGGACAAGCTCTCCAGTCTTCGGGTGCAGCGGAGAAAGGCAGGAAGTCCCAAATCGTTCGCTTTGCAAACTCTTCGGCCGGAACAATCCCGGGGGTAGTCGGTAGCAGGTAGGCCGAGAAGGCCCGAATTGCTTGATGCTGCCTTTCGAATGTGCAAGACCATACTCGTAGGTACCCAGTGGTGTTCGTTTTGCTTTTTTTTTTGCTGCCGCTGAATCTGCTCTTTTTCCACACCGATCCCCTGAGGAAGCGGCGAGGTGCGGCTCCCAAGGGTTCGCCAACTCACTGTTGAGTGCCGCTTTCTTGTCTGGACGTCCAATGTCACTGCAACACTGAGCAGAGTAGCTGCTGAGCCGATGGATGGGACAGGCTTGCTGCAGAAGCCGCTATCGCTCAAGAGGCCCGTCGTCACAAAGCCCAAGAGTGCTCCAATCAGTTCACAGCTTGTCGTGGTCTTCCAGGCGCGGCGAATCAACGCTGCGACAGTCATTCAGAGGCGATGGAAAGGGTGCTCAGTGCAGACTCTTGGTCGCAAACGAGAGCTCAGTTGTCGGGACCATTAGCGGCTGATTCTGCTTATGTCGTGCGAATACCTGTCGCTGCAGGTGTCAATCAAGTGTCAACGTTGCTTCTGCGGGCTTGCGCGTTGCTCCCGGCTCCAATCTACCGGAGGAAAAGGGAGGCAGGGTACGATCATGCAGCGCGATGAGTTATCTTACATGAAAAATAGATCAGCAGATTACATCTTCGTACAATGTTTAGCATTGCGATGCTTGCTTGTGGTTCTGATGCAGTAGTGATTTTCGTCTTGAGTTGCAACATGCTCATTGCGGCACGATCGTCTTTGAACATGCAATAAGGCATGGTTGCATCCTACTATGCTTTAATACAGTACTTGTCAACTACTGTGTGTCGTGGTGGGTTAAAGGATATCATAAAGAGGTCATAAACTATTAGTAGAGTCTGCTTTAAATTTAAGTTGCAGTTGCATTTTGATTTTCATATCGCTTCAGATTCATGTTCGAAATTTCGATACTGCTCTTGAATGTGCCATTGCTGTTTGGCTTGCATATGCAACTGCACTTAGCTAATTGGAGAGGGGTTTATGCATTTCATAAGTCGCATTCGGTCTCACTGTTCTCATCTGTACATGCCTATGTCTAGGGCTTCTTACAAGAGATTTTTCACGGTCCTGTAGAGGCATTGCGTTTCTGCATGTTTTTGCAGGTGTGTATGCACATGCATATCTACACTCTGCATGCCAGAGTAGACTGAAACCGAGCATCACAGGCAGCCGCAGCCCTTCACGGAGGAGGAGAGAGAACACAGGACTCCTTGGAAGCATTGGGTCAGCGGTAGCACAGGGATGATGATAACAATGCAATAGAGCACAATATATTGAATTCTATCACAACATTTAATATATAGTATAGTATAGCATGACCTCATGTGATATAATCTTTCCGGAACCTTGGAGCCCTGTCTCGTCGAGGACCGGAAGCGGACACCGTTCCTCAACGGGAAGGCCGCTCAACATCGTTACTTTGGCAGCATGTTATACCTTCGGGTGCTCGTGCGCAATCGGAGTTTCTGGAAGTCTTAAGTGAGAGAAGGCGAGCAGATGCAGGCCGGCTGATCGTGCCGAAGGTTTCGAGTCTTTGTGCCAAGGAAGCCCTTGCCCAAGAAGCCGCAGAGTTCGAACCTGGAGACTCCGACGGAGGCGGGTCTCTGACATCCTGTGTCGTACTTCCCCCCTTCAAGGGTCTCACGCACTGGCCCTGGCTACTTCCATGCCGCGACTTCGGAGAGCTCTTGTTGCATGTTTTTTGCACTCGCAAGGACAAGATGAACGAGCCGCTTGCAGAGACGTTCAGACGACTCAAAGGATTCAACTTGCTGCATTGACCGGTTTATGCGAGCTTGAGAATCGTTCGCTCGTTCGAAGTTGCCGAAGTCTTGGTCTTTAGTCTTTAAGCGACGACACGGTAATGCCTCAGTGTCGGCAGCTCCTTGCGTTCAAGGTTGGGCGATTTGCGATTTCCTTCGCCACTGGGCTTTCATCGACGTGTGCCATCACAGAAGGCGGAGAGACAGGGACGTCGGCAGCTGCAGATGCTTCCAAGATTGCACCATGCTTGAAGGACTGGAGCTCTTGCTTGGATGCAGTGCTGGGCGAGCTAATGATGTCTACACAGCCACTGACTCTGCAGTGTCCTGCACCGCTGAAACACCAGATCGTGCAGTATCTAGCAAGTGCAATCGTATGCAAGAGCGCGACAAGGTCGCCGGCGGCCTCGCCAAAGAGGCGCCGAGCAGCGGCAAGGAGCGACTCGATTCCACAGCTGCCGCCGCATACACAGGCGTGGCTTTGGAGCGATTCTCACAGACGGCCCCTGCAAGCAAGCCTGGATCTATCGAAGAAAGTCTGCAAATGTCTGCAAGTGGAAGGACTCCGGCTACCTTCCTTCGGGGATGGCCATGGAGGTCCTTCCGCCATCATGCCGATGTGCGAGGTGCATAAGTGCTGCAAGAGTTCAGGAGAAGCTCTGCAGAGGGCGAGCTGCTGTGGACTCCGTAAGCCCGCAGAAGGAGAGGCCCCAGGCACGGCAACCTCTCCCTGGATGTTTTCTTCTGGGTTGCTGGGTCTTTTTTTCCGGGTCAGGGGGCGACCTCCCGGCAGCAGATGGTCTCTGCGAAAGCGCTGCTCATGGCGCAGCCGGAGGACGACCCGATGGGGCAAAAGTAGCCGTCTCTTGGAGTTCTGTTGCGATTTCAGGCGGTCTTCTCTGGACCTTCCCCGCCGTTGCCGGCCGGCCATTCCAGGTTCTCCTCGAATTCGAAAGGTTTCTTGGAACGAATCTGGTGGTGCTGAGACATCTCGACGTATGAACTTTATCATGATGTCAATCATCAGCACGGGGTTTCTCAATCAGAGTAGTCAGGCCGGATAGACCTCGCAGCGACGCTCAGACTAGAAGACATGGACGATGAAGCTGGCCGCTTGACTTGGAATGCCTATGCCGAAACGTGACTTCCACGAGCAGTGCATGCTCAGGGGCCGGAGCCCCAAAGACTAGTGGCGACTCTCCCTGTGGCTGGCAGCCACCTGTCGGCTTCCGCAATCCGCAGGACCTTGCTCAGTCTGCGTTTTCGTGTCCCACCTGCAGTCCAGCAAGTGAAACGCAGGACGGCAGGTCCATGCTGCCTGGACATCAGAGGCAAGGCGGCCTTGCCTTCAGCAGTGGCTTTCGCTGCAGTAGAGACGGGTGGTTCTGTGGAGCTACCGGCAAAGTCTCTGACATGAATAGCAAGCACTGGCACGCCAAGGTCACCAACATTTGGCATCTACCATTCGCCTAGAGGACCTGGAGGATGCTCGTTCAGGCGACAAGAGACCAGAAGTGTCCAATGAGTGTACGACACGTCGATGATTCTTTAGCCTAGTCTCTGTTTTGCCAGGGCTTTCCAGCCGCGCTTCTTTGAGGGGCGACGCGTGGCACGGCGTGGCCACGGGGGCGGCAGCGAGCTGCCCTCGAAGCCCCGGCATGCCGCAGAGCAGCTCGTCGCCCTTGTTGCATGGCGGCTCTGCCCGCCCGGCTCTCGGGAAACGTTGTGAGTTTGGAGGCTCTTCTCGAGGCTTGTGGATGCCTCCCAGGCCCGGTGGTCGGCCCCCATCCCTCGTTGCGGCCCGGGACTAGCTCGGGTGCATCCTTGCGGCTCGCTGGTAACCAGCTGGCTGGCTTGGCCCCCAGGTTTTTGTCATATTTTCTCCCACTCTTCCGAGACATGCAAAGGACCAGAAAGTCAGCAAGATCCGGCAAGTACCAGCATCAGCTACCAGACCACCGGCACCACTTTGCAATTGCCCAGGTGGACGTGCCCACGGCGCGCAGCTAGGTGTTCCTGATTTTGGAAGGCCAGCTCTGTTTTGACGAAGTCAAGCCAGGGAGCTGGCATGCCTTAGGATTGAAGGGCAGGTTTTTGAGTTGCCTTTGTAACGAACGTGAGCGTCACACGGCTAGCCTTGATGAACACTGGATACGGAACCTGCCACTTGTTCAACGTAGCCACAGCACCTGCATGTGCACAGATACCAGGTGGGCTTTAGAACAAAGACAGAGTGTAGCAAGCTGCTACAGCAAGCCCCGTGCGCGGTCTGGAGAAGTGACATGACTTGTGCTGTGTCCGTTGAAAACGGACATCAGCTCTGCAAGTATGGTGTCTATCAAATGGCCTGAAGCTGCGAAGAGGTACAATGGATAATCATCGCGTGCCGTGATGTGATGCAAAGCCATAAAGCCATAGCCATAGCCATAGCTTGGTTGTAGGTGGGCCACATGCCTTCCAGCAGTCGAGGGTGTGCGGCCCCACGGTGTCTCTACAGGGCAGGTGCACATGTACAGGTGGCATCGCTGGACATGTAGTCGGACAGTGGCATCCGGGGCCCCGGGGAGGTGAATGAGCGGGGCAGCTCCGCCACACTGGAAGCGTAGGGCCTATGGCCTCTGGCGCCCTGACAAATGCCACTGGTTTTGCACAATTAGGCATCGTCTGCCTGGCAGAATCGGCATGCTCAGCTTGAAAAGATGGGGGATGCTGATGGCTTCCTGTAGCTGCAGTTCGACTCCTCTTGCTGGGGATCGGGTCGTCGAACCAGCAAAAGGATGTGGCCCTCATCAAGGCGCTCTGGGACCACGAGGTGGAGAGGACAGCCAGCTCCCAATTGGCCCAGGAAGCTGCGACAAGTTCATCCTTTATCTGAGCGAGTCTGCAGGATCCGACTGACGGAATCCTATTTGGTCAAGAGGCCGATCAGCACTGTGAAGTGCAGAAATGCACAATTCCGACCCCTTTCCGGATGCCGCTGGGCAACGGAGACCTTGAATGGTCTGTTGAGGTGGGGCACTGTGGATGCTTTGCAGATGGAAGACGATGTGAAGGCAAACTTCAAGAAACTCAAGGACACCACGAACGCACGAACTAAAGTCCAGCTGCGTTCGCCACAGAATCTTTGCATGCTGCTGGTGCTTGCATTTCGTGGCTTGCCTTTTCGGCATCTCTGATGAGGAGTACAAAGTGGACAAGAAAGTGGATGTGTACGTTGGAATGCAGGAGGAGGGGCATGTTGCATGATCATGCGTGTACTGCACTAGGATGCAGAGCGGCGCAGTGGCATGGTTGCCCATGCGCTGACAGGTCATCAAGCGATGGGTAATCTTCTGCCCTCTGGTTGGCGAGCTCTCCGACCCGTCCATGAGGCCAGCGCTCACAATGCTCATGTATTCATATGGTAATAACTATGGTAATGATGGTCATCGGAATAGTAATATACTGCCAATGACAAATGTTTAATTTAAGGCCAAAGGCAGTTCGCCGCTTGTCCTAGGCCCAGACATTGGTCAGCTCTGGTGACTCTCTGTGACAAGCAGCTGGAGGACCGGTGCACGAGTTTTGCATCAGACGGGTCACAGGCCCGTGTCGCAAAATTCAGGTTTCAAAGGAGCTCCTTCTCCGTGACATGTGGAACATGGAGCTTCACAAGTTTCCCACAGAGGCCCTGGGTGGGACTTTGGGCTCGCACTTGCAGTGGCCTCTGCTATGCTCTCCACGGCTTTGTGCTGCATCGCGGAAGAGCCTTGGGCTCAAGGGATACAGCTGCAGAGTAGCCCAGACTGAAGCAACCACGTTGCGGGCAGACACACGAAGTCCCATGCATGACGCGGCATAGTCGGCGATGGTCCTGGTTGGCCCCAGTTGCAAGATCCTGACGTTTCCGTGACAGAGATGGTTGGCACCCGAAGACGGAGAAGGTCGACATTCATGCCCAGGCGCGATTGCTGATCGCTTAGAGCAGACTGCGGTTTTTGGAAACCTCACCTTGTGAGGCCTGTCAGGACAATAGGCCTTCATGCTTCTGCTTGGCTGTGGCTATGCCGGCTATGCACTCCATGTTGCCGGGGGCTCGGGTTTCCTTTGCGCTCTGGTCTTGTCGCTTTCTCTGCACGGCCTCAGATGGAGCTGGCCGGAAGCCGACCAGAGAAGCTGTGTCCTTCGACTGCAACCTGACCTTCTCCGAGCCGGTCGGTGGCATGGCCAGGCTCTGAGGTGTCGCTGGTGAGCGAGTCTTTCTTTGTAGGCCTTTTCTTGCGGCCTGAGGTCTGGGGCATCGCTGCAGATGAGACGCATCGTCTGCTCATCGCTCCATCACTCGATTCCATGGTGTACGACAGCTGCACTGGCAGATGGGACTCAGCTGAACCTGGTCGGGTCTCCGAGACGACTTCCGAGGTACGCCTGGAACATGACCGGGGCAGAGCCTGCGCGCTGGGAGCGGCGGCGTGTCTGCAGTGGTTGATCTCATGCCGTCAGCTTTTCGTCGCTGCCCACTGCAGGCACATGCTTGACGAGCACAAGGACGAGGTTTGGAGAGTCTGGGCCCCTGGTCATGAGGCGCATACCGGTGTCGGATACGTTGCAAGTCACGACTTTGCGGCGGATGACCCCTGCTCGACCAAGGTGGCAGTGCATTCCGAGCCAGAAGTTGGGAACACGCCTGCGCAGCCACGCTTCCTGACCGGATCATTGGATGGTACAGTGAGAGTCTGGAGCTTCCTGCCGGCAAGCGGCCCATGCATGGTCATCGTCCGTCTCATCTAGACACACCCAGACTGCCAAGGCAAGACTGGCGACGGATTTCGGGGCCATCTCCTCTACAACACGAGCCACATGGTCACGGCGTTGGCATCTTCAGCGTGGATTGCGCACGGTGACAAGAGTGGCCTGATCGGTCTGTGGTGGCGACCTGACAACTGGTATCGAGCTTTGCAGGCAGACTCTGTCATGATCCAGGCCGAGACCGGGCCCGTCGGCTTGGGCATGCACGCATGCACGGATGCATGCATACATGTATGTACGTTCGTCTGCATGCACGTATGATCACAGATGCTTGAAACACACAACCATCCATCCATGCATTACATATCATGATGTTACATTGTATATTACTTTTCCAAACCATGACATACCACAGCAAACTCAAACACTTACATGCATGCATCCGTCGGTCGGTCCCTCCCTCCCTCGTCCGTCCCTCCGTCCATCCCTCCGTCCCTCCGTCCGTTCGTCCGTCCCTCCGTCCCTCCGTCCGTC